TGTGGCTCAGTGAGAGAGCTCTGGAATTTAATCCCTGGTACTCAAAAAAGAAAAAGTGAATTTCAGGCTAAATCTCATACCTCATATAAAAATTAACTCAAAATAGATACTGGACTTAAATGTAAAACTATAAAATTCTAGAAAGAACACATAGGAAACGATCTTTAGAATACAGTATTGAGCTAAGTTCTTTGACTTATAATGCTACAACAATCCATAAAAGAAAAAAAATGCTAAACTGGACCTTACCAAAATTTAAAACCTTGGCTCTACAAAAGACCCTCTGATGAGAATGCAATGGCTGGGTTGTGGCTCAGTGCCAGACACGTGTGAGGCACAGGGTTCCATCCTCAGCACCACATATAAACGAACAAACAAAGGTCCACTGACAACTAAAAAAATATTAAAATAAAGGTATTGTGTCCATCTACAATTTAAAATTAAAAAGAATGAAAAACAAGCTACAGACTGGCAGAAAATATTTGCAAACCACATATCTAACAAAGGACTAATACCTAAAATACTCAAAACTCAACAGCTGAAAAATAATAATCCAGGAATGAAGAAAACTGAGATATTTCACTGAAAATATACAGGTGGCAAAAAAACACATGAAAAGATATGCAACATCATTAGTCATTAGGGAAATGCATATTTAAACAAATGAGACATCACTAGACACCTAGCAAAAATTATTAAAATTTTAAAAAAGAGGTAACATCAAACGATAGGATACAGAGAAACTACATTTCCCATGTAAAAATGTAGTTTTTTTTGGTAAAATGCCACTGGAAAACGAGTATGGAAGCTTCTTACAAAATGAAACAATACACTTACCAAACAGCCCAAATTAAAATTCATGTTAGTATAAAATCTGGGCATAATTTTTTTTTTAATGCCAGGGATTGAACCCAGGGGTGCTTTATCGCAAAACGAAATTCCCATCTCACAAAGTTACTGAAACCTGCAATCCTCCTGCTTCTGTCTCCTGAGTCACTGGAATTGCAGACATGCATCAGTGCATTCCCCCATGTGCAAAAATATTAACAACTTATTCTTAGCCCCAAACTGGAAGAATCCAAATATTCAAAACCACACACTCATACTCTAGACCACTACTCAACAATAAAAAAGAATAAACTATGCATACAACAAGTTGGATGGATCTCAAGATAAAATTAGTCTGAATGAAAACTCCAATCTCAAAAGGTTACACACTATAATTTATAAGGTTAAATACATATACTGTCTATACAACATTCTTTTTCTTTTTTTTTTTTTTTTTGGAGATGAGATCTCACTATTTGCCCCATGAGTACAGAATTGCGGGCTCAAGAGATCCTGCTACCTCAGCCTCCCAACTATGGGCATGCAATACCATGTGCAGCCTAAATAGTATTCTTTAGGTGACAAAAATTATAGGGATGAAGAACAAAATGGTGGCTGCCAGGGGTTAGCAGTGGGGAGGGAAGGATGTGGCCAAGGTTACACAAGGGTCTCAAAAAGAGTCCTTTAGATAGAACTGTTCCCTATCTCATTAGTCTATTAACTAATTAAAGTCAACATTAATCTATTAAAATTACTTAATTAAAATTAGTAGGTTAAACTGCATGGAATACACACATACATATACACACACAGACACATACAAATGAGTCCAAGTGACCCTGTGAAATCTAAATGAGGTTCATGAATTTTATCTGTCAGTTTCCTGGTTCTTACACTATAAAAAAATGTTAACATAGGAGGTCCTGGTGGTAAAGTTTATTTATAAGTTTGTAGTATTTCTTACAATTGCACGTGAATCTACCATTACCTTAAAATAAGCTTTTAAATATATTTAAATCCACATCCCCCAAAAATACACTCCACAGGGAGGGAAAAAAGAAAACTCAAAGCCCAGATAGTTTCAAAGTTGGTATCTATCAAACATTTAAGGAAAAGTAGTTTTAATCCTACACAAACCCTTCAGACAAAAGGGAACACATCCTAACTCATTCACGCAGCCAGCATTATCCTGATATTAAAATCAGGTACAATTTTACAAGAAAACTATAAACTAGCTCAAAATTCTAACCAAAGTTGAAGTTAGCAATACAAAAAAGAATAATGTACCATGACAAGGGAAATTCAACCCAGGAATTAAATGTTGGCTCAATATTCAAATGTAAATCATTATGCTAATATGCCACATTAAACAAAATAAGTGAAAGAAAATTCAAAAACTCATTTCAGTAGAGAAAAAAACAACTTTGACAGAAGACAAGAGCCAGTTATGAAGAACTTCTTAGCAATCGAGGAATAGAAAGGAATTTCCGAAGTCTGAAAGGGCATCATCAAAAAACCTACAGCCAATTACATACTTAATAATGAGAGACAATCTTTTCCATCTAAAAATCAGAAACACCAGGGTACAGCAGCACACACCTATAATCCCAGCAACTGGGTAGGCTGAGGCAGGAGGATGGCAAGTTCAAGGCCAGCCTCAGCAACAAACTGAGATCTTGTCTCAAAATATGAAATAAAAATGGCTGGGGATGTAACTCAGAGGTAGAGTGCTTTAAAAAAAAAAAATCAATAAATAAATTATATATTACATCCTCAAAGAACAATTAGATATTGAAACTTAAAAATACCACCCAAGACAGCTTGAAATTTTTAATATGATTTATGAAAAATTTAAAACACTGCTGATGGGCTGGGGCTGTGGCTCAGTGGTACAGCACTTTGTCTCACAAGTTCGAGGCCTTGGGTTTAATCCTCAGCACCACATACATAAAAAATAAAGGTATTGTGTCCACCTACAACTACAATTTAAAAAAAAAAACTTAAAACACTGCTGAAAGAATCTTAGAACATCTAAGTACACACAGATAAACCAGAATTGTAGTTTGAAAGATTCAGTGTTATAAAGAGTAATATTCTCCCTGAAATAATGTATAGATTCAACTCAAACTTCCAAAAGAAACAGGCTGCTTATAAAATTTATATAAACCGCTGACATTTGTTCATAAAGAAAATCATGTCTTTAAATTTCTCTCCTGTAAATACATGATTTGCTAAAAGTCACCAATTTTTTATATAACTTTATTTATTTATTTTTTTAAAGTGGTGCTGAGGATCAAACCCAGGGCCTTGCACACATGAGGCGAGTGCTCTACTGCTGAAGCATAACCCTAGCCCTTCTTTTTGCATTTTTTAAAAATATATATATGAAAATGAAAAAGGCCCAGGGGCTGGTGTTGTGGCTCAGTGGTAAAGCGCTCGCCCAGAATGCACGTGGCACTGGGTTCGATCCTCAGCACCACATAAATGTAAAATAAAGATACTGTGTCCACCTACAACTTAAATAAATATTTAAAAAAAGAAAGAAAAGAAAATGGAAAAGGTGCAAAACAGCCAAGACAATTTGGGGTAAGGAGAGTGGACCAAGAACAAAGTGTTACACAGTGAATTTCAAAATGAAGTACCTACAAACATACAGCCAACCTATTTTCAACAAAAGGAAAAGGAAAAATGGTGCTGGATCAATTATATATGTGTATGTAAAGAAAGAGAAACCTAACTCTTGCCTGACAGTATATGTAAAACTTTACCAAAAACTATTCATAGAACTAAATTTCAAAAGCTAAAAGAAAAAACTTCCAGGGCTAGAAACGAGGCTCAGTGGTAGTACACTTGCCTAACATGTGCAATGTCCCAGACACAATCCCTAGCACCATAAAACAAACAAACCAAAACTTCCAGGAAAAACGCAGTATAATTTTTGTGACCTCGGATTATGTAAAGATTCTCTGGATATGAAAAGTATGAACTATAAAAGACTTTTTAATAAAAGACAAGATAAAAACTGAAAGAAAATGTTTTAAATTTTTTGATTAAGGACTTTTACCAAGATTACATAAAGAATTTTTACATATTAAAAAGGTGAACTTGAACACTTTTAACCAAAGTATATAGACAGGGGGGGAAAAAAAAGACACTCCGATACTGTTAATCATTACAGAAAAACAAACTAAGAGAGTAACAAACACCTATCAGAAAGGCTAAAATAAAGAAGATTCACTACACCAAATGCTGAGGAGAAAGTAGAGTGACTAACTCTCATACACTACTGGTAGGAATTAGTATGGAACAATTATTTTGGAAAACAGTGTGGCAGCTCCTTATTAAGTGCAAAGCACTTATCGTGCTATGAAGCAATCTCGCTGTACATATTTACTCCAGAAATGAAAACTAAAAAGTATCCTATCCTAGTTATTTTGTCCAAGGTGTAAACAAAGTTTTGCTTTTTATATACATTCCTTATAAGCCATCAGAAGACATCAAAAAAACTTTTAAAATCTGCTTTAACTACTTAGGAACTTCACCTACCCTAATTCTGAAGTCAAAAACATTCAATCAAAATTATAAAAATTATGCACCACCTAGAAAAGTTTTACAAACCTTAAGCCGAGACTCATTAGTGGGTATTCTACCGGGTCAAGACCAACTTTTTAAGAACATGATACAGAACAGAAAATAGAACTTAGATCCTATCTAGTAAGGCTAAGTTTACATCTTTTATTTTAGCTGAATCACAAGGTGCCGTGTAAATGGATTTTTACTGTAGATCATGTCAAAACATTCAAAACCCTGACCTAAAACATATCACTAGATCAAGTTTTACGCTACTAGAAGATTGTACCATTTTTAAGCCATTTCTCTGATTCATCCCCATGCCAGAGAAGAATGAAATCCAGAGAGGTGTTACTAATGTTGTCTACAAATGTAATGACTTCAAATATCCTCTGGTAGTCTTTACCTTAAAGAATTATGAGTATACTTTATTTTGTTTGCTATATTTGACAATCACTTTTAACTACCAAAACAATACATTTTCCACTTTCATTGGGATTCTGAGACTAAAGAATTCTACAAACTTTTCTCCAGTGACTAAACAAGGAAGCAAACATCATAACTTACTGATCCTATTATATACTGTAACTTGGCAACACATTATGAAGAAGAACCTGGTAATTCAGAATGTAGATGAATTCAGAATTCACTAGAGAGTAACCTGAAGACAAAATTATCTATTTCAATACATAACCAACTCAAAATATTCCCAAACCCCTTGCAAAAAAGAAAATTTTAACATCTATTAAAAAGTTGTCCTTGGGCTGGGGTTGTGGCTCAGTGGAAGAGTGCTTGTTTGGCATGTTTGAGCCACTGGGTTCAATTCTCAGCACCACATATAAATAAATAAAAATAAAGGCTCATTTGGCAACTAAATTAAGAAAAAAAAGTTGTCTTTGGCTGCATAATCACAGCTTAAGCATTTTATATAAAACATTTTATATGTTATAATAAACAAATTCTTAACAATTATTGCCTTTTAATTTAGAACAGTTAGAGTAAATTCAACTGCAGGCAAGTATGTGCAAAAGAAAAAAAATATGAGTAGAAATAATGCATGCATACAAATAGTTTCTTTTCTAAACCAGGTTTATCTATATAAAACTGTATATAAATGTTTATGAAATATGTATAGATAATGAGTAACTGTAACAATCACTGAATTCAAAAGGCACTGCTCTACAGCAAGTATACAGTATCTTGAGAAACTATGAAACTTTTAAACTTAACATTGTTATCTGATTCTGGACTTTTGACAATTATTCATTAAAAAAAAAAAAAAATCCTACACTGGAACTTAGATCAAGCTCATGGAGATTACAATCCCTGAACAAACTTCTGAATTCATGTAGGTCCAAAATAAGACTCCCTTAGTTCAGGGGATTCTTGTGAATTTGGGAGCTATAAAAGCATACATCTTTCTCTCATAAATAACATACACAAAATTATTCATCTTCATTACCACAACATAAAAGGCTATTTTGCGAATAATTTTCTTTTAGAGCTGGGGATGTGGCTTGTGGTAGAGCACTCGCCTAGAATGTGCAAGGCCCTCCCTGGGTTTAATCCCCAGAAGTGCAAAACAAAAATAAAGTGTTTCTATATACCTTTTGTATGGAAAGAAAAGAGATAATTAATGAATTTATGTACAATCAATTATGAAGCTTGAATACTGCTATTAGAAAGACACATGCTATGGTGAAACAAACTGTAAATGTTAAGAAGAAAAAAAATCTCTCCGTTTTATCCTAAATCTTAGTTACTTAGCAGTAATTCATTATTATAAATACAAATAATGGAACTATATCAGAAATATATTCACCTTACAATACTGTAAAAAATTATAAGGTTTAGACACTGTCTTTAAAGAAAAAAAAAACGTATCTACTTCCTAAAATCTTGGACTTAGAATTAAAAGAAAGGCTTTGTAAGAGTACTTTTAAAAAATCATAAATTTTATCAGTCCAGCCTGGCAGCCACTCATGTAAAACAAACTGTTTGAGAGGCTGAGGCAGGAGGATCAATTTGAGGCTAGTATGGGCAACTCGGCCAGATCTTCAAAGTAAAAAAATAGAAAAAAAAGGGTTGGCGATATAGGTCAGTGGTAGAGCACCCCGGGTTTAATTTCCAGTATCCACCTCCACAAGTCATTTTTTTCACCATTCAAAAAAAAAAAAGAAAGTAACTATGTGAGGTGATGGTTAATTAGCACTTTCTATTTAGAACAAATGCACAAAGTCTTGTACAAAGATGTTAGGTGCACTGCCGTTAGCAGCAGTGAACATCGGATAAAGCAAGACAGTGGAGTCCGCTTCAGTATTTCACTTTGTTAAAAATTATGTAATAATTTTTTAGAAGAGTGGATCAATCTTAATGGTCCTGGAAGGATGTCCAAGACGTAGTGTAGAAAAAGCAGGTGTCTTTTATTCAGGCCAAACACACGCATATACGGCTTATGTGCTGGTTAAGAATTCAAAGAAAGCTAGACAAGGTGGTGCTGGCCAGCAATCCACTCGGGAGGCTGAAGCAAGAGGATCACAAGTTCGAGGACAGCCTCAACAACTCAGTGAGACCTCAAAATCTAAAAAAATAAAATGGGCTGGGTATGTGGCTCAGGGGTACAGCGCCTCTGGGTTCAACCCCTACCAAAAGGGAGAGGGGAAAAAAAGAACTCGGAAAAAGTTCTGGACTCGGGAAACAAAACAGGACTCCCTCCAGGGCGGGAGCGAGAGGGCAGGGAAGGAGCTCGGGGTTTCGCTCCGTGCGGCGACTCCAGGGAGAGAAGGAAACGCCACGCAAAAGTCACCTAACTCGGGCCAGGCCACCCACCGGCCGGGCCGTTGGCCCCGGGGGTGCCATTTTCCGCACTTGCCCAGGGAGGTCGCGGGCGGACCGCGGCCACTCGCCGTCCGGCAGGACGGCGCCCGGGGACCGGCCACAGCGCCCGCCCGAGCCCT